GAACTGTGTAACAAGAAGATTCCTCTAGTTAATGTACTTTAGCAAATCATAAAGTCGAAGAAGCTACTTGGGAAAGAGAAGAGGACATGAGGAAGCAATTTCCATACCTCTTCGCATCATGTACATTTTAAAATTCAAGGACAAATTTTCTTAAGGGGAGAATTGTAATACCCCAAACATCGGGTCAGTGACCATAGTGAAAGGATTTAAAATTTGGTGGGTTAAATTTAGTAAATTGAAAAGTATAAGGAATGATTTAAGAATTTGTGTTTAAGATTTATTAGTAAGAATGAAAGAATGGAGGGATAATTTGGTCTTTTAGAAGGAATGAATTTAATATTTATTTTATTTAGTATATTTATTAAGGGGATAAGGGGAAAATGGTAAAATCTGAAAATTTTGTTCTCATTCTTCTTCTTCCCGTACTCCCCATAACAAAGGTAAGGTTTCTTTGATGTTGGTTTTTCCTTTTGTTTATGGGATGGTTTGGAAGCCTTAAGTGATATAGATGTTTAAGGAAAACTTAATAATGAATAAAACTAAGAGATTAGTGATTTATTTGAGATTTAAGAAAATGAGTTTTTAAATGATTTGATGAAATATGGTTAGTTATTGAAGTTTAAAAGTATATTTGACATGCCAAAGAAGTAAATAAGATATTTGGAGCCTTAGAAGTTATTAAAAACATGTTTGCAATTTGGGTGTGATTTTTAGTTTTAAGGGTTCTTTGGAGTTATTGGATATTATAGGGAGATTTATAGATGTAAGTTAGTTGGATTAAATGATGATGAGTTTAATGGTATGGTTGGAGATAAGAGTAAGTGATTTAGGCAAAATTTGGGCAAACATTGAAGTGAAATATATAAAATATGGGTAAAGGTATCGATACTTGAAGAGCAATACCAATATTATAGGGTTAAATTTGAGGAAAGATGATGAACACGAGGAACAATATCGATACTGATGCAAGTAATATCTATACTGATGTGGGGGTATCGATATCAAGAGGACGGTATCGATACTATAATTGAAAAATGGATTCCAGAATACAAAAATGGTATCGATACTGAAGGGAGTATCAGTGCCATAATATAGAAGTATCGATACCATAGAAGGGGTCCGAACCATTAAGTTTAAAATTTTAAGCTAGGATGAACTTTAATAGAATTCAAATTAATAGTACTTTTGAGTATTATTACATTGGATAAATGTTAGTAACTATACTAACATTTGTATTATATGTGTGATTATGGATGTTTGTATAGATCATAATCAAACTTCTGAGTCAAGCAGACAGAAAGACAAAGATAAAGTTGCAGAATAGTCGGACATCATTGAGGCATACCATGTGAGTTCATTTATTTTATACTTATATGTTATGAGAGTCATAGATGCATTTTGTTTAAAGCATATGTTGCATTACCGTATCGATACTATGTATGCAACCCATGTAATTCATAATGAGTTTGTGAATTACTGTATTGTCACTATGTGTGCAACCCACATAATTCATATTGAGTTTGCAAATTATCGTATCGGCACTATGTGTGCAACCTACGTAATTCATAATGAGTTTGTGAATTATCGTATCGGGAATATGTGTGCAACCCACGTAATTCATAATGAGTTTGTGAATTACCGTATCGGTACTATGTGTGCAACCCACGTAATTCATAATGAGTTTGTGAATTACCGTATCGGCACTATGTGTGCAACCCACGTAATTCATAATGAGTTTGTGAATTACCGTATTAGTACTATGTATTCAACCCACGTAATTCATAATGAGTTTGTGAATTATCGTATCGACATTATGTGTACAACCCACATAATTCATAATGAGTTTGTGAATTACCGTATCGACACTATGTGTGCAACCCACGTAATTCATAATGAGTTTGTGAATTACCGTATCGACACTATATTTGCAACCCACGTAATTCATAATGAGTTTGTGAATTACCGTATCGACACTATGTGTGCAAAACCACGTAATTCATAATGAGTTTGTGAATTACCGTATCGACGCTATGTGTGCAAAACCATGGAATTTATAATGAGTTGTAATATTCAAATCGTATTTTGATAGTTATGATATACTTATATTTGAATTCACCTCATTATTATTATGTCTCACTAAGTGAATACTTAGAGTGTGTTGATTTTACGCGTAGGTATTAGTACGAGCGGAGTAAGGAGTGCAGCTGGCATCGTCAATAAAGGGTCGCCTCATCAGTAACTGTATGACAACTATGTCTACTTTTGATGTTATTAGATGACATGAAATAGAATATGATAATGCTCTGAAAAATATTTGACTTATGATAATGTACTATTTAATATGTTAGAATTTTAAGACTATTTTACATACTATAAGTTAATGAACGTATTATTATTATTATTACATTAAAATGTTTTATGAATTGAAACAAAATTTTACTAGTTTGCAAAAACAAAATGTTTTAAAAGTTATGTGACATGTGACTTGTATATGGAAACGTATACGGGAAATGGGTGTTATATAACGTATGAACCTGAGTGTATTCGTGATTTCTTTCACGTTTTTACGTTAAGGCATTATCGCTCAGATATGTCTTATATTATTTCTGTTGAGGGTACTTATCTGAGACTTGACTTGTGTTTGAGGAGGAGCCTATTCATATTCTTACTTGTGAGGTTCGGGTTCTGAGAGACCGATGTATTTCGATAGTTAAGGTTCTATGGATTAATCGTAGCCTTACGGAGGCCACTTGGGAGATTCAACAGTCTATGGAAGAGCAACTCCCTCATCAGTTTCTGTCAGGTGAAATTTCGAGGATGAAATTTTCTTAAGGGGAGGAGATTTGTAATACCACAAAGTTGGGGCTAAATTGGAAAGCTTTTAAGTTTTTATGTTTAATTGTGAATTTTTAGAAGTTCTGGGACCAATTGTATAAATTACCCAAGTTTTGGGTATTACAAATATCTTTACCATCTCAATTTTCTTTTTTTCCCCTAAATAAAAGACATGTTTTCCCTATCTCTCCCCTTATTGTTTTTATGTTTTGTTAACGTTTCTGTCACCGTCTGTTCTCTATGTGTCTCATCGTCGGCATCTTCATCTTCACCTCATTGTTGTCGTTCGTCTGGTACCCTCTAGTTATCGCTTGCCATTGTCATCAGTGTCGGGTGAGAGGGTTTAGTTTTGGGTTTTCAAGAAAGCTTAATTTTTTCGCTCCCTTCCACGAACTGAACTCAATGCTTGTATGTCTCCCCATCGTTCTCCAATAAGTCTGTATCACCTCTATTCAGCTCAGCTCGACTTCGCTCGTTTGATTTGATATACGCGATCTAGTACTACTATTCGTGGAAATCGTAAGGCCTAGACGATATGGATTATCTCTTATAGTTATGTTCTCTAGACCTTCTCGATATTCTCGATATATTATGCTATTGTGTTATGTATTACCTTTTGAAAGCATTTGCAATAATTTGATTACAATTATCTGTGGCATTTCTGATTTTTGAATAATGTTGCATCACTCATGATCTGCATATTATTACATCCCTGATTCTGTATAGGCTTAGTCTCGTCCTGATTCTGCATGAGATTTTTTCTCTGTCCTGATTATGCATGAGATTTATTCCCCCTCCTGATTCTACATGGGATTATATCACTGTCCTGATTCTACATAGGATTATATCCCCATTCTATTTCTGTTTCGGATCCTTTTATGAGGGTTAAATTCCCATTCTGATTTCTTCTTTTGACTGGGATCCTCTTCGGATGGAACGTCCCTATCCTGTTCATTCGCGACGAGAGGTATGGTTGTGTATTATAGATGTTGCATTCTAATAGTTAAATCCTGATGTTACTATTTACACATTATTTGTGTTGTTATATATTTAATGATATTTCTGTTTACTGTAGAAGACACGCTGAGCCTTGTAGCTTATTCTATTTTTGTTTTTCCCTTTTCAAATTATCCAATTATATGACCAGTTTGACTATCGGAGGTGAAGTCTCGATTGTATACAGTATGAGTTTAGAATTTATTTTTTTTAACTTTTTTAAATGTGGCATGAATTTACTTCTGAAATTCGTATTTGGTAAATACTTTTAAAAGAATCTATTAAATATATTTTGTTCGTAAACCATTTATGTGATCGACGTGGTCACACTGATTTAGTTGTAACTCATAAGTTGGTCTAGAGGATACAATAATAGTAATGATAATATGACTTAATTAAAGGAAAATTTTTTAAAAGAAGGAATTTGATATCGTAATTATTGCATAATCAAAATATGAAAAAAAACACAAATATTCAAAGTGACTTTTCTGACAGATCACAGTTGAAGTTGAGAGCTAATAGACAGTAAAACATGAAATACTGTAGCAATACATTTTCCATTGGTTTTCTTATTATTAACCGTGGGTGTAAGGAATTTCATGTCAATAATTTACGAATAAAAAACCCAAAACATTCAACTCTCTTTTCCGACAAGTTTGACGCCCCGAAGAATCATCTGTTTTTTTTTCTTTGCTCATGTTTTTTTATTACAACCACTTCATTTGTTGTTGGACAAAGAAAACTAATTCTTAGCAAAAAAAAAAAAAAGAACAGAAAAAGTAAGAAAACGTCTATCTTAGTTGGAATTGGATTGTGTCCAAATCAGTTTTAAATCGCAGCCGCAGTTGTATTTTCAGTCATTTCGGATTACCGTAATTGTAACTCTCACGGACGTTATTAGGGGTTAACAGATAACTCGGACGGCGACGAAACTATTATTTTGACGATATCACGTTTTCGGAATATGATTTAAAACCCGGATCGAGATCTTGTGTAGAGCTACATATTCCAAGGAAAATTATCAGGTTTTTTTTCTTGACTTTGGAGTAATAAAGCCAGAGCCGAAGGTGAATATAATTTATAGTTTTCTTGTTTTTATTTGCTTTGAATTGTTTAAGTTAATCCTAAAGAGCAAATTTTCATTGGGATTTTCTTCTAATTTTTTAATTTTTTGTTTTTTTTCTCTTCCTTGATTCCGGGGTTTTCTGAAGAAAAAAAGTTGGTTGCTTTATTGGAATCCGGGCTTAAACTGTTAATATTAAGTGTAAAGTCTCAGGTGTTTTGAAATTGAAACAAGCTCATTAAGATTCTCAACTTTTCAGGAAATTCTTTGTTTCTGGGTTATTAAGGGAATTCTCTGGTTTTGGAAGTTAAATTCAGCTGAAGACCTCAGCTTTTAGGGTTGAAGCCTTGTTGGTTTCTTGGTTCATATTGAAGTTCTTTTGAGTTAAACGTAAGGTCTAAAGAGGGATTATCTTTCAGCTTTTATTTGAGTTTTTTTTTCATGTTGTTGGTCGTTTTAAGTTGCTAGCTTAATAAAAAAATCACATTTTTGTCTTTGGCTACTGGATTTTGGCAAGTTTTTGTTTCTTAATTGTAGGATGTGTTAGGTTTTAGTTTCAGCTGCCTGTGTGAAAGTTAATTTCTTTTTAGTAAGTTTTGCAAAACCATGAATATTTCAGCTTTGTTTAAAGATTTAAGCTTCTGGCTTGGTGTTCATTACTTGCCTTTTTAACTTCAAATTCTCATGTACTAGGGCTTGAAAACTTGGGGATTTTTGGAGTTCCAGCTCTCTGTTCATGGAATTGTTCTGATTTCTACTTATTTTTTTTTGGATGACTTGATATGCAAAAAGTTGCTTTCTTTTGCTTTGCCAGGTTCAGTTTCTTGGTGCTATCATGGATTCCCCACAGTCAGTTGTCTCACCATTCAAGAACTCTGTTTTAGTTGAGCCTGAGAATCAGAAACCGGAATTTTTCAGTACCAACACTGGCGTTTTATTGTCGAATGGGTTCGAGGTTAACCGAAAGGAAGAGAATACCATCGGTGTTCTCGACGTTTATGTCCATCAGGCAAGAGACATCCAGAACATCTGCATTTACCACAAGCAGGATGTGTACGCAAAGCTTTGTCTCACCTCTGATCCCCAAAGCACGGTTTCCACCAAGATCATCAATGGAGGCGGGAGGAATCCGGTGTTCAATGACAATCTACGCCTCAATGTTCGAACAGTTGATTCGTCTCTCAAAATCGAGATATTCATGATGAGTAGAGTGAAGAATTATCTTGAAGATCAGTTGCTGGGGTTTGCTTTGGTGCCACTTTCCGAAGTAGTACTCAAGAATGGGAAGTTGGAGAAAGAATTCTCGCTTTCTTCAACCGATCTGTTCCATTCCCCAGCCGGTTTTGTCCAATTGTCTCTTGCATATGCTGGTTTATCTCCAGATGTAATGGCTATCCCTGCAATGCCTAGAGATGTGGCTGCTCATGAAACTGTGAAGGATTCGGAAACGAGTGAGTGCGAGTTGGAAAAGATCGAGTTTCCGGATCCGAAAATCGTGAACGAGAACCAGATGATGGTTTCTGAGTATTTTGGTATCGCATGTTCTAATTTGGATTCTGAAAGTTCGGAAAGTTTCATCACTGCTGATGTTGAGAATCAGATTTGTTCAAACATTGGTGTTCATGTAGTGGAGAGCTTCTCAAATGCTTCCATCGATTCCATCGAAGCTCCCAAGCTTGATTCTCCTCCAAGTAGCGTGTCTACTAACGGGGTTTCGTCTCCATCAGGCGCTGCCAGCTCCGAGTCCGCAGAAGGTCCGGCTGCTTCGAAAACTTCCACTCAAGAACAAATGTCAGCCGCTAAAGAGAAAACTGTGGATGTTGGAGATTCCGACAGTCATTCCTCCGTGGCACAAAGCGATTGCACCGTGAAACCAGTTGTTTCCATTAACATCGAGGCCGAGCAGAAGTTGGTGCAACAAGACATAGTGGACATGTACATGAAGAGCATGCAGCAATTCACCGAGTCATTGGCTAAGATGAAACTGCCTCTGGACATTGATAACGGACCGACCAAATCCAAGACTTCAAGTACCCCTGATCAGAAAATTCAGGCATCGAAGAACACCGGCTCTCGGGTGTTCTACGGAAGTAGGGCTTTTTTCTAAACTTCCTTTTCCTCTGCTCAAGGGAAGACACACAGGTGACTTTAGAGTTCTAGGGTGGAGACTGGAGACTAAGTACTACTAATGGTGAAGTGTAATAATGTATCATGTAATGTGGTAATCTCGACTTTGTACTGTTTATTTAGCTTTGTTAAATTTCAACTTCTGTTAATATATATATAATATGAACCTTTTCATTTTATAATATTGCTGATTTTCAAATATGAAAATAATTGCTGAAAATCACATTCCATGTTAACCAGTGTAATTTCTGCATGTAATCATATTCTGTGATAATTGGTCCCACTTTCACATGGTGATTTGAAATAATAAGATATCATCGGACTTAATGTTATTATTTACTTCGCATTTCCATCATAAAAAGGCAATTGGCTAATATATTTGACATTCAATGCTGCTAACAAGTTTTTCCATTACCAGATAGATCAATAACTGATCATTTTATTGCATGTTCATTAACGGAAACTAAATAGGTACTTCAATGATTTCATTTTCTCTGATGGTCGTGTGCCTTCTGCAGATCCATGCAATATGTCCGTTGCCCCTGTATCTCACTCTCCATAACCCGAATTTATCTGTGATATCCTTTCCGGTTGAGCACCTCCCGTCCCTCAGAAAGTCCATCACCCATTGTTAGGCTGATCTTAGGTCTTGTTGAATGTCTCCGGTCTTGTTTCGGTTTCGGATTCCGTTTACTCGTCCCATTGCTGCAGTTCCAGCGGCTCCTGCAGCGACTGCTCCTGCTGCTCCATACATGATTGAAGAGTCGGCGAGATGGGCAACTTCCCTGCTCAAATCCGGTATAAGGTTTCCCATACAGGCTTCTAAATGCGCTCCGATTTTGAGAGCAAATGTAACCAGTTTCATGAACTTGGTCATGTATGGAACTACGCATTTTACTGCAGTGTTATCGACGTGCATTACTCCGCAACCAACCTGATCTTCAACAACATTCATTTCTTTCCTGTACTCACATAACATGTGCAGCTGAAGAGCAGTCATTCCGGAGATAACGGTGGTTACCAATCTCCTTGAGTAGTTTTAGGTTTGCATGAAATATAACATGTTGGGTACTTTCCGCCCTTCGACTTGAACATTGAAGTTCACAAGGTAGTTTACTTTGCGATGGAGCTCGATTAGGAGTCTGCTCATAATATCTCATTCCCTGAATCTCCTGTTTCAAATCTCTTATTTCTTGTTCAATGATCTTTAGTCTCTGCAATACCGTTTCCACTCCTTTGGCTATTCCACCAAAAGAAGGATCAACTTTGTCAGTCTCAACAGCATTGGATATAGGGTTCTCTTCTTCATGTGGGATTGTTTTTTGGTGGAACTTGCAGTTCCAAGGCAAGGTTGTACAGATCATGATATCTACAGTGCAAAACTTCCTGGAAATCATAATCCGATAGTGGTCTCTAGCTAAATCAAACCCAGCTCTAAGAACTACTTTGCCCGAATCGGACACCAAATCCAAGTGTGCTGATAAACATACATGCTTTCAGCTGGGACCGAGAGTAGTGCTTGTTTATGTTTTTGAAGGGGTACAAATTGGGATTTCCTGTACCTAGGAGGAACCAGGTTTTGCACACATTCTGGCCTCAAGATGTTTTCGATCAACGTTACACCATGGCAGAGGCTTTGAATTGCAGGAACTATGAGCCGGTTGATAAGCCAGTGTTTCGGTGAGGTTCTTGGTGGAGCACGCCAGGATGTCAATGTAGTAACCCAATTGTCCTCCGAGCTCTACTCGGATATGGATGCCGTTGATGTTTATAGCAATGAGGTATTTCTCAAGGCTATAAGTAGCTCCATGCTGGTTCTTCAATGCCATGATTTGATTATGAAGGTGCACGTGTATTTGCAAATACCGAACCGAGTGAGAAATTAAGAATAGGCATGATCATTAAAAAAACTTACCTTGCTAAAATGTTCTCATGGTGAACTAATTTTGTTAAAGATAAGAAAAATTCTTGCCTGTAAGCGGGGAAAGAAGCCTGGTGTAAGGAACATACGGCTTGAATCATCACACTGAAGATGTCTCCCTGCATAAAAGCAATCAGCACCACCTAATTGCCATTTCTGTGGTTTACCTCGGCCTTCTTTGAGAATCGAGGGAATCAATAGCAGAGAATCGGGATCAGACCGGTCTTGTTCATAGCATAGTTCAAGTTTCAAAATCATTTTGATAAGGTCATTGGCCTCTAAGTTCTCAAACACCTTTGAACCCATTCCTGGAATCTGACTATGCAAACTTCCTCTTAAAATATTCTCCAATTCTTTCCGGCTGATGAATCCGTTCCTGGCCGAGCTTTGCTTTCTAACCTCTAATTTTATCAGTTGACTCAGCACTTCACCACAAAACCATTCACAATCCAATATTAGGAAGCCTAATTCATCAAAATATATCACCTCGCCGATATGATGGAGACAAGTAGCAACGGCCCTCCTCCGCATTTCGATTTTCTCCTTATTATCATGTCGAGATCGAATCCTCAGTGGTGGAACTTTAACTTGGCACTGCTCAGCAAACTCTTTCCACTTCATAGCTGGCTTGTTATAGTTCTCTGATCTCCAGTCTGATAAAATTTGTATAAGATCATTGCAAAGCTGATAAACCCGAGGAACTCTCTGGAGAACAGTTTTGCTTGTTTTTCGAATGTGATGGGTGAGTTTACTGACCGATGCTGATGATCTTGCATGACAGTAAACACCATTGGATAGAAATCAACATAGCCATTGAACTTGTCTCTCAATTTTTGTATCAAAGTCAATGTGGTCTGCAAGTTCTGAGATGTTTGATTGACCTTGTCATAGTGAGTGAGAACTACTGCAATATTCGGTAGCATGAACTGCTGGACCGCCCTTTTCGAATTGGAAACGATGAACCTGAGCCAATATTGAAGGTCCTCTTCAATCTCCATCGGAGTCTTCGGTTCTCGGTTGCTTGGTTTCCTGAATAAACTCAATATGATGAGGAAAAACGACGCACTCCAATGCCCAGGAAACATGAGATCATGAAGAGAGTAGAACTCATGCTGACCGGCAAGATTCCATATCGATATCTTTGTGTCCTCATCTTTGAAAGTCTTTATCTTCAACTCTTCTAACAGCTTGTTCAACTGGATTTACAAGGGTTTTCACTTTCTCAATGTAGGGAAGCTTGGAAGAAGAGAAATTCTGTGATATCGAATTGCAAAGTGTGGCCTTACCTGCAAAGAGCAATGGAAATGATTATCTTCGAGCTCGGCATTAACAAGTTCTTAAAGAAGAAATGTTGAGTGATGTTAAAACTTACCAGCATACTCTTGGCCACAAAAGAATAATCTGCAGCTCTTGGGCTCGGTAAGTGGCATATCCTTTAGCAGATCATTTTCGGGTTCAGTTTCAGTCTTCCCATTGTGCCCCATTGATAAATCGCATCTACTTTTCCTGTATCATGCAGAGGCGTTCTAGCAAGATCGATATCTTCGATCCAAGGATTTATTTGTAGCGCCTCCATTATTGCCTGCAACACCCTTTCCCCTCTAACACCTTTGCAGCCTTGCAAAGACAAGCACCTCAAACTGGCGTTCTTCTCTAAGCTCTTGAATATTCGGAAAAAATCATCCGGTCTCATGCTCTGATCGTCGACGATCGCTAGCCGAGTCAAAGTTTCATTGGTGGTTAACATCTGCAGAATGGCTGCAAAACCAGATCTCCCCATCTTTGTTCTACTGCCTCCGAGTGTCACCGACCTTAGTGTAATGTTGGCTTGGCATTGCAAAGCAGAGAACCTACTCAACGGGCACAATAGATGCTCGACGCCTATACCATTGAATCGGTTTCCATCCAAATGCATGCGTTCAAAATTCCTGTTCTTGAATAGTCCAGCTGCTACATACACAATTCTCTTCTTTTTAAGGCCGGTTTTCGACAAGTTTACTTCTTTCAGGGTTTGGTTCTGCTCCAAAACCCATTGAATTCCTTTTCCCACCGTGATTTTAGGCGCACTCCGGTCATGTCAAGCGATGTAATAGTCGAATTCATACCGAGAGAACATGCACCCTGCAGGCACCCGAAACATCGATCTTGTAAATCCTAATAGTGCTGTTTTGAGGTACAAACTCAACCACCATGAAACTTGTCTCCACTCTCTCCACTCCCTACATGGACTTCCATGGCTCTATTCCTTGCTAAAACAGCGGATATAAGGGGTGTCTCTGTGACCGAGCTCGAGTCGAAAATCGTCAAAAGCTTCAGCATCGAGTTAGCTTCAATCATCTTCGAAAGCTCCTCAGCACCTTTCGATCCAATCGAGTCTTCCCATATCTGTAACTCTTCCAAGCTATCATTCACCTTTAGAGCAAAAGCAAGTAACGTAGCACCAATAGTCCCAATAAGTGATTCAGAAAACATAACCTCTTTTATTGCTCCATTTCTCTTCAAAGCATCGGAAAACTCCGATAAACAATCTTCCTCGAATCTGTTCGGAACACGAGTTGCTTGATGTTCAAATTACTATCCAACAACTCCCCAAGGTTTTGCACTTGTTGCAATTCCCATTCAACACAGTGAAACTCCAAGTTCCTAAGGGAGGACAAGGTACTTTTGGCTGGTCCTAGTATTATAAGAATGGGAGGGGGGGGGGGAGGGGAGGTATTCAAGGCAATCTGCAGAAATATTTATGTTCATGGAGTTTTCGGTTAATTTCTAGATAACAACCCGAAACAGGTTGAGAAAGTTAGAAGGAAATGCTGTGTAGGTTAAGGCTTTCGGTTTCGAATGCTCGAGGAACCCATTGAAACCGAATGTTTCACACTAGTAAACTGAACAGAAACTCCTTACAATCTGAGAGAAAAACAATCCCAGATAACATGACAAAGAACCAGCAACTCTTCCAGGGCATTACAAATTTTACGAGAAAATGGGAAAAATTAATACCCTATGGTTTGATGTACCGCTGAAGATGCCCGGTACATTAGCTGGAACTCGATCTTCAGGAGTATATATATCCCGCAATCTGATTGTACATCTCACTCGAATGCCAAGAAAACGAGCCTAAATTTTCACTATTACAATAGAAGAGAATAAAAACGAATTGAATCTCGAACCTCAAGGAAAATCCCTTGTAACTGCTCACTCTGAATGTGTATATTTCAAATCAATAACCCTCATTGAGATCAATTTCCTTGCAAGCTGCTGACA